TCTATCAATTTTTTTTTACTATAACTTTTACTTCTCTTTTCAATTATTTATTTTCACTTTTATCCATCTATTTTTTTCGCTATAATTTTTCTTTCTTTCTCTAACATGTTTTTTATTTCCTCAAATTTATTATTTTTCTCTAAAATTTTCTATTTTTGTCTTTAACTTTTCTCTCACTATTTTTTTTCTCTAAAACTTTTTATTCATTTCTCTAAATTTACTCTCTTCAAAACAATTATCTTTAAAAAGTTTTCTTTTTATCTCTCTAAACTTTTATTTTCATATCTCTATATTAGAGATGACAAAAATCTCCACTTCAAGAATACGGAATGCATTTTCCACCATGCCCCAACCTTGTTCCGGTTCTGTGTTAGATTGATCCGAAATCTTATTCAAATCCAATATAACACCTATGGATATATAAGAAATGTATTGAATCTTTTAAATAGTGAATATATTTTTTATGAACTATTTTACTAAATTATGAATAAAATATTTAATATTTATTATAACTAATTATTTATACTAGTAAATAATAATTTGTATATCCTTATTACTCTTTTTTTATTTTTCTAAGTTCTAAAAATAATTAAAATTAATTAGTAAATCGGTAATCTTTTCCACGAAGATCTCTGTCCCCGGACAAGGATTCCTCGACTTAGACCTTTATTCTCAAAATCAGAGAATGAAGTGGGGTCGGGAACTAAAAATTTTCATGAAGACAAGGGTGGGAACGCATGTCCGGCTCCCACCCCATCTCGTTGTCATATTTAGTCTACTCTCTAACTTTCTCAAAATAGACAACTAAACATGATTATCAAACATGTTTCTTCTTCTTTTTTTTTTGAAAAACAAAAAACAAAAAACAGTTACCAAACATATATGATTTTTGTTTTTCAAAACTAAAAACAAAAAACAAAAAACATAAATCGTTATCAAACGGGCTTTAGTAAGTCAAGTGTCAAGCTAAAAGTATGATCACAAGAAATGAGATAAAAATAAAAATGAAGGGACCAAAATGAACGTTTCAAAAGTATTGGAACTAAAACATACAAAAATTAGGACTAAAGTGAACACTTTGAAAATAGAACAAAATAAACTAGAGTCAAAAGTACAATAACCAAAATAGTTTTATTTATTTTTGGAAAGGGAACCAAAATAGTATTTAAATCTTGTTTTTCTCAAATTTTTTTTTTTTTTACCCATGTACTTAGGGATGTGCATCAATTTTTATACTAAACTTTAAATTTAGTCTACTTGTCAAAGCGAGGAGCTAAACGGTAATTGACATATATCTCCATCGAGGAGAAAAATTGCATTGTTTATCTAAATTTAAAATTTAATTAGATAAAATTGAAAACCTATGGTAAAAATTGATATATATTATCAAGTTTAAGACTTATTTTTATGCCCAAAATTAGTTTTAATTCCTTAAAAATGAGGTCATTTTTATCAATTACTCGAAAAGGAAGTTGTGAGAAATTAAATTCTTTTTTTTTTTTGATAAATGAGAAATTAAATTCTAGTGGATGACATCCGCATAAGGTTCTGTCTCAACTTATCTTATTGGTGTGGGTTAAATTTGTAAGACCTACTCAATATTGGGTTGTTTTCTTTTATAGAAATCTATAATTTATAATTTAATCGGTGTAAATCTTATTTTGGTCCTTGTAATTCTCGTTCTGATATTTTGAAGTGTCAATTTTGATATTTGTACTTTTAAAAGGATGTCCATTTTAGTTATGTAAATTTAAAATATCTATTTTGGTCAATTTTGATATTTGTACTTTTAAAAGGATGTCCATTTTAGTTATGTAAATTTAAAATATCTATTTTGGTCATGTATTTTTTTGACATTATATTTTCAAAACATCAATTTTGGTTCGTTTTTTTTTATCTTATTTTTCAAGAACAATTTCAACACAACACTACACTCAATAAATTTATAGAAATATTGTCAAAGATTTATAATAAAGAATTTTCAATGTAGATAAAATTTGGGTTAAGAATTTTCACCAAAATGATAACTTTTTAAAAATATATATACCAAAATAGATATTTTAAGAACTTAAAAAAACAAAATAGATTTTCGAAGTTTTAGAAACAAAATAGAATTCAAAACCAATGTTAAATTATAAATTCACTTTGTTAAATTAAGTGGTATCCATTATATAATTAAATTTCTAAAAAAAATGAGATAGATCCATGAATTTCAATTTTAATTTTATCAAGTCTCTACCATCAACATCATTACTTAACACGCTAATTAAACAATTGAGTAATGATTTGGCATGAAGTGACAATAAATGACTGAAGAGATGAGATGAAGCAAAAAATATCAATTGGGTAAGTAGTTGTTGGTCATGATCGTTCTAAACTAAATTTGTCCAATTAGTATGTCATGTCAATATTTAAGTAACCGTATTACTTTTACGGATAATAAAAATTATTATAACGAAAATAATAAAAATAGAAAGCCAAATTAAATTTTTTAAAATTACGTCAACCCGAACATAATTCAACAAATTAAAATACCTACCTCAAATCATAAGATCGTGAGTTCGAACTCTCACCCGATGTAGTAAAAAATGATAATCACACACATTATATAAACAATAAGTTTACAATTACAAAGCCTCATCAAAACACTACCACACATCACGTTTCTTTCTTCTATCCTAATTTTTGTTGATAAATAAATTTAAAAAAAGGTTGAGAAATCAAAAAAATTAAAAAAAGTCTCTTAAAAACCCTCATCAATTTTATCAAACATTTTCTTTATTAATTGTTCGACTTCGAGACCTTGAATATTTCAATATTTTTAGAAATGAATATTTGTCCTCTGTTAAGGATCCCACATTGAAAAGAAAAATGACCTTACAATTGTTTATAACAGACATGAGCTACTCCTCATAGTCAAGTGGAAGACCGATGAGCCAAAAGAGCCACGATTTTGAGGGGACATGTTAAGGATCCCACTCTTCACCATTGGAAGAATTTTCACCTCTTCCATGAATTCTTTGCTTCTATTGTAATAAAAGATTCCCTTTTTATGTGGAAAAGGCCCGTATCAATAATTATCCAGGGTGTCTCGAGATGATATGTGGCCTTAGGCGGCAAAATTTTGAAACGAAAATCTTAATATGACTAATTTTTCTGTGTAACTTTATATGATTAGATGCTTCATTTTCAAAAATATCATTATCTACCGTTTTTGTATATGCTTTGATTTATCTATACCTATTATTTCTTCTATTATTTTATCATTTTTATTACTTTTACTTCTACTAAAAAAATTTATTCATAACATTTTTTTCATATTCAATCCGTTTTTGTAGCACATTTTTTAGATTCAATAAGTTTTTATATTTTATGTTTTCTTAAGCTTTTCATATCCATATTCATTTTTTTTTATAGACATCTTAATATTTTATATTGAAACAAGTAAACAAACATAAACAAATCTCAAATATTTATGTACTGAACAATATGAAATACATTTTCAAAAAAGTAAAAGAAATGGAACGAAAAAGCTTAAGATAATAAATTTGAAGCTTTGTTTTCTATTATTGACAAAATTAAGTTAAAATTAGTATAACCTACCAAATATATTTGAGTCTTTTTTTAAGAGAATCTGAAAATGTTTAATTGTGAAAAAAATAAATAAAAAGAGAAAGAATACAGATGTTCTAAAATTGGGGAGAGTTTTGAAGGATTATGTTTTTTTTTTCTTTTTTGAATGAAGTTTGAAATGTTTTAAACATAAAGAAAAAGATAAAACTAACAAATTTTGAAGGTATCAAATTAGAATTGAGAGTTCTTTTGTATATGGTTTTAAATATTTAGAACCTCATTTTTGGAGAATGGAGTGTTAGTATCCGACAAATTTATCGTGAAGTCGATTCTTGTGTAGATTTGTTTGCTAGTCAAATAGTGTTTATTCCCTTATGTTTACATATTTGTGAAGTGCCTCCTAATAATTTCTTTTTCCCTATTGATTACATATGTAATTTGGTCTTCATGCCCTTTTTTCGTCTTATTATTATGGGCTTTAGTCTCATTTTCTTCCCAAAAATTTAAAAATTAAAATCTAGAGAAAATTTAAAATCTAGAGAAATTTATATGACAGATTGATTATGGGTTTTATATTTAATTAAAGATTTTTTTAAAGAGAATTATATTTATTATTGGTTTGTATTTTCAATATTATAAAAACAAAACCTATGAAAAATATATTATTTTATATTCCAAAGTATATTTACAAGTAAAAACTAAAATAAATAGATAAAAATATTATATTATATTATATTATATATACTAATACATGAAAAATATGAGGTCCCATTTGTGCAATTCAAAGAGACTATGTATGCTCTCACAATCCTAGTTAATTTAGGCAAAGTTATCGATGTCGAAGACTGAAACTAAATTATTGCATCAACCAGGCATATTTTATATTTCATTACTACTATAAGCAGATTCGTGACATGATTCAACATTTTTCTCTTCCACTTGTTTCCTTAAGCTTAGTTGATATATTTCATTACTACCATAAAGCAGATTCATGACATGATTCATTCTTCCACTCGTTCCCTTAGCTTCAAGAGTTTATATATGCATTTTATTCTAATATGAAATTCTTCTGGGGAATTAAGACACGAAGTTGTAAGTTCAAATCATCACCTCCCCTTGTTTCCTCAAACTAAAAAAAATCACACTTCGAAACAGGATTCTAATAATCACCAAAAGGGACCCTAGTAAATATTATATATCTTATTCTTATTCTGATTTCAGAACGTTTTGGCAAACATCAACAAGATTCTAATTTCGATTCCAAAAAACATCTGGTAAACATCAAGGAAATATATCATTCCAATTTCTACTACTAAGTAAATGGGATCTAAGTGATTTAATTTATTATGTTACTTTATGGACACAAAAAATGAAGGTGAGAAAATTTTTTCATACTACTTTATTACTAGAAATTTAACCCAACAATATTGCAAGCCAGAGCACAGACATAATAGTACAATAACAGCATTACAATGAATTTCTGGTGGCTCAACCTGAGCTTCAGACCATTATTACAGTGAATTTCTACCAATCTGAGAATAAATAAATTTAAAAAAAATGCTAATCAGGTCTTAATCATCAAGATTAATATCTATCTATCCATAGTGGCTCTTCCTCCGCAATGCTTGCTACTGACAATTGTTCGCTAGTTTTCTCGGCCTCTCGAAAAGATGGGGGAGGTCAAAACTTCGCAAGTATTCTTTAGGGATAATCATTTACCGAAGTACACAAAATCTATATTATACTGCTTTCATGAGACCAAACACCACACGACCATTTGAAATTCAAGGCAATGCAGAGTGACAATCTTGTTGTAGAAAATTGGAGGGCAGGTATCTGCTACAGTCAAGTACTACAAGGGCAGGTCCTCGAAAAAAGTTTAATGTTAAGCAATCGAATCGAAGCGTACCAAATTGTTGTATATAGAGGTATTGAACTAAGTGTTGGTGAGTTCTGTTGAAGGGCAACCCCCATTCATGTTGGCGGCTGCCATGTTCCTGGTCTGAATGTTTGGCCAGATCCCACAGGCTCGGAGGACCTGAAAATAAAATCATGGGAACTTTTTTATACATAATTAACGTATGTTATTTTTTCTTTAGCCATATAAAACACAAGCCAATTGTAAGAATTTCTTATATATATCTAATATTGAAATGATTTCTATGTACCTAATATTGACATATATGAGTCGTGAGTGTGAGCTTTTGACAAATGACAAGCATGTATCCTGACAAAAATGAAAAATCAACTTACTCTGGAATTGGTTTCTCTTTGACGGCTTCTTTTTCTTTGGAGTTTCTGTGGTTGAAGCAAAGATAAATCCACATTATAAGAGGAACGGTTAATTGGATTTAAACACATTGCATTAGAAATTAAATACATTGCAGCAAAAATCTTAAGATGCTTTAACCCCAATCAATGCCTAAAAACATCATAATATCGATTACCTAGCAAATCTCGAGACAAATAACACCTGATTTGGCCCATTTCAAACTATTAAAATTGAACTCCTAACATACTACTGAAACAACTTGAGGAGTAATGAGAAGAAAATAAAATAGAGAAATGGCAGAGGAGAGCTACATGGAAAAGAACATCTAAGAGATTTCTACCAATGGAGTGACTATAAAATTGAGTAAAAGAATATAAGAAAGAGCAAAAAAAATTAACTAATATTTATCTCATTCAACAAGAAAGATTAATTCAAAATGAATGACTCACCTTGGGCTATTCCTTGCAGCCGATCCTTCTTCATCTTGGGCACCTTTTTGTGCAAGAAGTACCAAAATAAATGAACCATCGTTAGCATCCAATCAATAAAATATACTCTGATCCAAAAGAAATGACAACCATCAATTTTGGAGAGAGTACCAGAAAATAATCATCAAACAAAAGAAGAAAAAAATTAGCTCATTCTAAGTTCTTCTGGTAAATCAAATACTTTTTTGCAAGTGCTATAAATGAGAAGTCCGGATTTCAATCTCAATAGCCTTTTAACAAAATCAAATTTGTTGAGACAAAGGCATTGCCTTTTTCTCTTGAGGATGGAGGGGGAAGGAGAGTAAAGGGATAAGAAAATACATTATTAAATCATATGATACCTTCTGAACCAGTTGGAAATTGTCGAATAAAGCTGTTCAAGTCAGGACCTGCAACTTGATCTATGGAGCAAAAGAGTGTTAGCATGGCAATATGCGGCAAATGAAGAAAGCACTTTGAGTTTGTCAACGAGCAACTGACCAGCGCTGATGACTTTCCGTAAATTGCCTTCTCTAGAGTTTCTTTCCATCTCTTGTTTCTTGAGAACTAAATTAAACATAGATAACCACCAATAAGACCTTGTTAAATCAAAGAATACGAATGACATGATTCTTCTCCCAGAATCAAATAAAATTCAATTTGAACTACTAATCATATGTTGATCACTTCAATACCTCATAGTAAAATTAGGAATGGGATGGTTAACAGAAAAAGAGTGGAGCTAGATGAATGTCCATTAGAATCTTAAAGCATCTCATAAGAAGATCTACTAAGGCAGATAAAAAAAATTTTTGGAAAGAATATCTCAAATAAGATTATTAAGTGGATCATCTGGCAATTTCAAGTACAATGCATCCCTTTCTGCCTTTACATGAGTCACAATTTTGACAGAGAAAAGTTGACAATTCTAAATACATAATGTGGAAAACATGTTTTGCCATGAACAATCCAAGGAATAAAAAGAGGATTATATTAAAGTGTCAACATACGGGTAACATTTTGTCGCACACGTTCACGCCTAGCTTCCAGCTCCATCATTTCCTGAAGACAATGGCAAAAGGACCATCTAAATATCAAATCATGAGTAGCACACCAATTGCCAATCTTTTGATCAATCAAGGGGATGGAAAAGAGATTCAGTTGGTCTTGGAAGAATCTATTGAGTTACCTCTGGGGTTGGAGCCTTTTTACGCTGCCCATTTAACCAACATATCCATTCCACTACAGAAATAAACATATACGCAATCATCATTCCTCCAAAACTACATATCCAGCACATCTGAATAACCATTCAAGTTTCCAAAATTGGTATTTATATATTAAACCCCGATTTACAAAATGACACAATCAGATGATTCAAATAAAAGAAGTGTCCAAGATGAAAGATCTTGAGCTAGAAATGGTTACCTGGAATAGACGTTGGATCATCCTCACCCTTAAACACCACCCATCTCTTCTCTTTCACTAGCAAACCAATGAGTGAAAGTAGTATGAGCTGTATACGTACAGTGATAAAGGTTCATCATATAAGTAACAAACGCAAGTATTTTCTCTCTATATCCCTAGAATATCGTCCATTTTAGTTTCAAATAATAAAAGCCCAATTGATTATACAATCCAATATTCCAATTCAAAGGCATACACAGAGCTCAACACTTAGTGGAGCATAAAAACTCGGCTGAAATCTAGCTAGAGCAAGAACCTCATTCCAATCATGTGCAGTGTGTGTTTGAAGAATGTGCAATTTAAGGGGATATAGAACTACTTACTTAAACCATCGATTTCTTCTTTTCTGAAGAAGTATTTGTTTCCTGATTTGTCCACTCCCGCCATAGTTCTACTGCTGAAGAAGCTGGCAATTTTCCCGAAAAGCTTCGACATTATCTTCCTTCCGAGCACAGTTTTCACGAAAATTACAGAGCACTCATACCCTAAAAGATCTCCTCTTCCGCGTCGAGAAAGATTGTGATCTCGGTTGGAAGGTTGTAAAGGAAACAAACGCAAATTTGGGTTCCGATCGCGCTCTCTCTCAGTTAAAAACCTTGAAAGATCCCTCGAATTCGTTAGTCTTGTTCCCAGAGATGACAACGAAGAAGAAGAAAGAAAGTGGGAAATTGACTCAAATGACCCTTCAAGTTTATGGAAGGTTCAAATGACCCATCCGTTCAAAATGTGCACAAATGATCCACTTGAATATTTAATTAAATTTAAAAGGAAGCAAAATTACAGTACTACCCCTAAGTTCAAAAAATCAAAATGTTATGCTCTCCTTTTCTCTCTGTTTTCGCTTCCCCTTTTTCTTGGCAATTTGTATTGAAACAAAGTGAAAGAAATTGATTTAATCATCGAGGTAAGTTTCGTTTCTTTTACATTGCTCCGTTGATTTGAATGGTTAGGGCTTCGTTTTTTGCATGTTGAGGAGTTGAATGGTTTTTTTCAGTCGATTCTGTTTTCATATGTGTAGATGAACGAATACATGAATGTTAATGAATATATTAGGTATTTTCCATCGATTTCGTTGTCCGATTTTACTTTTTTTTTCGTTCCATGTTATTTGTTGATTTTTCCTTTGTTATTGTTCTGTTGAAATTGAGGTCTGTGAGATGTTACGTTGATAGTAGTTCAGTTGTGTGGTGGAAGGTTGAAGAAGAAGAAGAAGAAACGTCACTCTTGTTAATTCTCTGTTATTTTTCTCGGGTTCGACCTCGGGCGAGGTTCAGCCCAAGGTATTTGAAGAGGCTCAACCTCGAGGTTCAGACTCTTCCCAATACCTCTGGCTCAACCTCGCCCAAGGTCGAACCCAAGAAAAATACCAGTAAGCATAAACTCTTGAGCGACTTTCAAATTTCAATCCTTGCTCGAGGTTTCTAAGCATCTGGAAAAGTCCTCGGTTTCAACCTCGGGCGAGATTGCACCCGGGAAAATTTTCAGAGGCCTACTAGAACCTCGAACAAGGTTTGAAATTTCTTCCAAACATCGCTCGAGGTTGAGTGTCTTACAATTACCTCGGGCTCAACCTCACCCGAGGTCATTCCCGAGAATTTTGACAGAAACTTAACAAACCTTGAGCGAAAGAACAAATTTTTTCAACCTCGCTCGAGGTCCATCTCACTTCGCGCCAGTTTGTCCTTCTTCTTCAACCTCCCACCACAAATATTATAAATAAACCTCACATCCCCACACACAGAGACTAGAGACCTCAAAATTGACATAATAATATACTCAAGAATCAAGAACAAGGAACACACAAATAGTAATCAGTTTTCCTATTTTTCAAAACATGAAAGACACAAGAAACAAACTTAAATCGATGCAATGTAATTCTTGTATTCGTTCGTCCAAACACCGGAAAACAGAATCGATGGAAAAATAAAACATTAAACTCCTCAACAGCGATGAAAATCGAAGCCCTAGCATTCAAATCAATGGAAAAGAACAAAAATTAACAGAGAAGGAGATGGAACGAAAGTGATTTCAAACGGAGAAGACGATGGAACAAAAGCGATTTTGAACAGAGAAGGAAAAGAGAAAGAGACGTTCGATAAATGGTTTGATTTTTTGAACAGAGGGGTAATTGTGTAATTTCATTTCTTTTTAAATTCAATTAAATATAAAACTGGGTCATCCAAGCACATTTTGAAAGAGGAGGTCTGAGCATTCCAAAAACTTATGAAGGTCATTTGAGCCAATTTCCCGAAGAAAATGTAGAATTAGTTAAACCTCAAATGGTAAAATTAAAGTTAAAATTATAGAAAATACCTTAATATTAAATATTGTTATAATAAATAAAAGAAATTAAATTTTGTTAATTTTTAATTAAAAAACATTATCGCAGTGAGGAATTTATAATTAGCTAAAAAAAAAGGGTATACATATATGATTTCTATTTCAATTCTATATATTTTTAGTAAACAAATTTTTACTTCCAATTCTAGAAATTCATGGTAAACGTTAAAGGAATAGCATTTTTATTTCGATTGATTCCATTGATGGCAGGTGGCAAGCGTTTTTAAGTCTCTTCCCAGTGTTTGATTTCTATATAAATTCAATATTATAATTTTAAGCACTTTTGGATTTTTTTTTTCCATTTCAATGTTCTTCCAATTTTCTATATATGGTGAAACTTCTTCGGTTTTTTTGGTTGAATGGCCCTTTCCCATAGTCCCAATTATAGGTGTAAGTTGGTCGGTTCGAGTCGGTTTCCGTAAAAACCCGACCCGACCCGAAAATGTTCGGTTTTTAATTGGTTTGGGTCGAATTGGGTCGGTCTGATTTCGGTTTTTTTTTTCTTCTTCTTCACACTTTGGGTTTCTCCTCATGAGCAATAGAATGACAAAAAAGCAAAAAACAAAAAACAAAAAAAACCATTCAAATAAAACTTTCCATCTTCAAACCTTGAAAATAAAAATCCATATTCCAATCTAACCAAAACCTAGCTTCAAAACCCACCTTCTACAAAATACATCAAAACTCATCTTCAAAATCAAAATCACCTTCAATATACAACAAAAACCCAACTTCAAAATCAAACCCACCTTCAAAATATAACAAAAATACACAAAAATCCACCTTCAAAATAAATAAATAAAGACCTCCATCAAAACCCATCTTCAAAATCAAAAGAAGATATATAAAAAAAAAAATCAAAACAAGAGAAGAAAGAAAATGGAGGTTTTCCCACCGTCGTGAATCTTTGTCACTGTCGCCTCTAATTTGTGTTGAGGGGGGAGGAAGAGGATTCAAGGGAGGGAGGGAGAAGTGGGAGAGAAGTGGGAGGCGACTGATTGAATAAAGAAAGAGGATGAAGAAATAGGGTAAGCGGGGTTAGTTTTTAAAACCCTCGGTTGGTTGGAACTGAACCGAACCGAACCGACATTTGAAATAATCGAATCGAATCCAATCGGTTCGGGTTCTTTCACCCCTAGTCCCGATATATGTTTCCACCTCAAAAACTTATGTTTTTTAACCACTTGCTGACATCATTTTCATGTGAAATGATGTATTTGTCATCTTTTTTTCTTGAATTTCTCTACTTTCTTTATCCTTTTCGTCTCATCTCTCCTCACTCCTCTCCATTTTTTTCTCTCTCTTTTATTGGTAGAAGAAAGATGAAGAAAAAAAATCTCTCTAGCTTTGCTCAATCCATTTCCCTCTTCTCCATTTTTTGCTCTTGTTATTTCTGATATCTCGTTTTCCCCATCTCCTCTCCCTACTGTTGAGAATGACAATTGAATTGGAATAAGTCAAGGAAATGTGGATGGTTTAGCATACGTTGTGGAAAGTTAAAGGAGAAGAAACTTGCCAAATGACATATTGATGGCCCAAACTTTTGTGGATTTTTTATTTTTTAGATTCAAAATCTATTTTTGGCCACTCCCATAGTATAAATATGGATCATTTCCTTCCAAATCAATCATCCCCAATTCATCACATCTCTCATATGCTATCCCTCCATTACATTGTTTTGCATCTTTCTACTACCTTAAATTGAGCATGAAATTGATTCCACTCCCATTCCGACGAGTGCACGTATACGTGGGAGGTTGTGTTAACCTTGTTGGATGTGTTGTCCTAAACTCGTAGTTTGTATTCATGTTAAAACAAATTTATATTCAATAAAGTTTTATTCAGTCAATTTTTTGTTGAATTCATAACAATGCATTATCTAAATCCAATAAACTAAACATCCAAGGTTATTGTCATGTAACTGGGACAGTATATATACTGGGTATATATTTGATAAACCCTCGATATACAAGTGAATAATGTCCCGGGAATAACCTAAACGGTTTATAGTATATGGATAAGGTTGTGTACCTTATCTTGGCAACACTATGGATATGACCCACTTTGTAAATGTTATAGACGACCCGATCCAGGTCGTTCGTGTGGAGACATGCAAGTGGGGGTATCCTATACAATGAGTTTGTATAAGACCGGACCACGAAATAACGATCTTTAGATGTAACACCATTGACTAACAGATTGCTATTTCATAGGATGACCAGACAACTCATTCTCAATCGTGAGTGAGTTATGGACTCCTGCCGTGAGGGCTCGTTCTTTAGTCTGTATGGGTGAGAGTGGCCCGAGTCACCGACTCAACATTCCTACCATTTTGGGGACGAGACCGAGTGGGGAGCTGGGAACATAACTACACAAGATGGAATTCACTCCTCCCCGACTTTAGGGGAGTAGATGAGTGTTCCATTTAGTGCTGACTCCGGGACTTGAACAAGGGGCCCCACCCTCTCACTAGTCCGAGAGGGACTTTCGGTTATTGGTCGGATCTTAACCGAGTTATTCATTAGAGGATCAGCGATACTTAAGGTACAAGATGTAACATAGGGGTAAAACGGTAATTTGACTCATCTGTGGTTACGAACAGAAGGATTGACTTGCCATTAATGGTCGATATTTGTGGACATAGAAATATTCTACAGTGAGAAGAGTTCAGCTGCGGGTTTTTAGTGGAGTAACCCGTAGTTAACGTATGTTGATTAAGGGGGTTAATGAGTTTAACCAATTAATCTCGTAACGTTGGAGCTTCTGATCTATAGGTCCATTAGGTCCCCTTGCTAGCTCGTAAAGGGTGATTAAGAATATTAATAATTGGGAGGAATTTGAATTGTTCAAATTTAATTAAAGAGAATTTGAGTTAATTGTGTATAACACAATTTAATATAATGTATGATGATACATTATAAAACTATATATTATGAGAGAATAATGTGAATATTAAAACTAGGTTAAAGTTTAATGTGAATTAGATTCATATTAAATACTATAGGTCACGAGGAAAATGTATATTTGAATATGATTCAAATATTTATTGGTTTAATTAAATATGGTTTAATTTAATTATATTTAATTAATTAATTAAATAAGGTTTAATTAATTATTAATTAAATTAAATATATTTAAATAAATAAACATATATATATACACACACGTTAATTATGTTGATAAGACTTGATTAAAGGCTAAAAAGAGTAGTTTTCCCTGCTTAGTTGGGAGTTAATTATGATGGAAAATGTATGTTAATACATATAATTCATGGAAAATGTGCATATTTCGTTATTAAGGACTAAGGCAAGTAGTTAGAAGCAAATAGAGGCTAATTGATGAAAATTTGTTTACTTTGTAAGGAAAATTGAAAATTGATGATTGCAATGCGTCATCGCACGCCAAGTATTTCCAGATTATTAGAGGGATGCGCCAGCCACATTCGATGCGTAGATTGCCAAAACGGGAATAACAACTTTTGACCAAATTATTGATCCAAGATTTAGTTTTACTCCTAATATCTCTTCAACAACTAGTGGTTGTCAACTTCCCTTGAATTTCTCAAATCCTTGTTACTTCCATGACCCGTAAAGGTTACTTCCATGACCCGTAAAAGGATCCTCCAAGCATCACTTCAAACTTCTCATTTTTGATTCCATGTTTTAGTTCTTCCTTTCCAATTGTTATCAACTTTAGTTTTTGAGTTTTTATTCTAGCATTTCAGTTTTGTTCTTTATTTAATTTTCTGCAATTATTCTTTGTTTATTTTATTTCAATTCTATTTGTTCTAATTTTGTACTTTCATTTCCATTTCAATGAAAATGCATCATTTTGTTATCTTCTCTTGTTTTGTTATTTATTTTACTTCCATGAGTAGCTAAATTGTTTCTTCAACCCTCCTACGAATGCTTTAGTTCTTATCATTATAAATTACATCTATGAGTGAGCACGGCGTATTACGCTCCTTTTGCTTATCTTGATTGATACAATTTATCCAATTGATTTTCTTGTTTACCACTTGTTTAAATCACATTAGTTTGAATTTAATTCTGAAAATGTTAGAGTCAAACGGATATCAAGGTAAAACGGAAAATTACTTAGAAATAAGAACTAAAACAAGATCCTAGACATAGGCTCTCTTACCCGTTAAATATAAGTTGGAACTTGATTTATTTAGGATTCTAGAGTTGTATAGACATATGTAAACACTAGCCTAAGCTTCTAAACCAACCAAAAATGGTATGGAATAGAAGTTGAACTAGTTTGCATAAAATGAATTTACTTACGGGCACATTTGGTAGATATAATTCATCATTTTAGAACTAAAATAAATGGGAGTTAATATCATTCCAATTGCCATTACCAAAGTAATTAGTATTTTTGTCATTAAAAGATATTTGTGGCTGGTAATTATTCCAAAAAAGACTATTAATTCTGCAACAAAACCGCTCATACCCGGCAATGCAAGGGAAGTCATCGATAAGATACTGAAAGTCGTGAATATTTTTGGAATTGGAATAGCCATTCCGCCCATTTCATCGAGATAAACAAGACGTATTCTATCATAACTTGTTCCCGCCAAGAAAAAAAGCGCAGCGCCAATAAATCCATGAGATATTATTTGTAAAATAGCTCCATTGAGTCCCGTCTCGCTTATAGAGGTAATAGGGGTTGGCCTTTTAAATTCTATTATTTTCTTGTCTTTTTCGTGTTCAACCAATTTCACCAATTTTTATCACAACCTCGATTGCTCATTCCAGCATTTTACAAATTCAATTTTAAAAGAAAACTTCCTTATGAAGACGAACTTGGAATATTTCCAAATTATTACTTGCGACAGTGTGCACTTGCACTTACCCTCTAACTATTAAGCAGAGGCACAACATACGTTAACATAATTAACCACTCCCCAACATTTTTTGCTGGGAAGTGGTGAGGTGGAGAGTGGGAATTCTCTCTCTCTTCACTCATACGTTAAAACCATTGTGGCTTTGTGGTTTTGGTTGGTGGTTCTACTATGGAAATTTTTGCATAGAACACAGAGAATCCCTCTCTCTCAATACCTTTTTTTTTTGGTTTTTCCGTGTACATTTTCTTCCCCAAAAGAAAGGATCTCACAATCCGTTCTTGATCTTTGAGGATAGCAAGGTTGCTACGTGGTAGTGTCCAACTTTTGAGTTCGTGCGTTCGGGAATGCTTGTTCGTGCTGTCACAAGATCCGTGCTCAGGGAAAACCATTTGCCAATGGTCTTCAAATGTGAGTTTTTCTCTTCCGCAAGAGGCTTAACCTCATTATTAATAGAAATGCTATGTTTTTTAAAACTGGTATCGTTCCTTTTCTAATTCGAGTTGAATCACAAGCGATCAACCGCTTCTTCTGGGGATTCGATCCCTTCAAAACTTGGGGAGCGTACCGACAATAAAACAATTTAGCACCAAGGTCATGCTGATTTTGCTTTCGAGGCAGTGGTTCCGCCCACGGCATAACGTTTTTAACTCCCGGTTCAATTTTGGCCTTTATGTCCCAACTATTTGAAAGCAAAACTCCATCTACCCATGGCTGCTACCCGATCTGGAAAGGTCCTGCCAGACTTGTCAAATTGGAACCACACGACGGATCCAACTACTGCCAGTGGTCACAGAAGTTACTAATTTTCTTTGAGCAGTTGGAGATCGACTACATTTTCACTACCAAGGACGATGCAGGTAGGAGAAAACACGTTATCGGTAAATGACTGCAATTTCAAATGTCGGACGACAAATCAGTGATGGATCAGGTTCATCAATATGAGAACCTAGTGGCAAGTGTGTTGTCTGAAGGCATGGACATGTGCGAGATTCTTCAGGCCAATGTATTGCTCGAGAAATTTCCTCCTTCCTGGAGTGATTATCGCAACCGCTTGAAATATAAGAAGAAGGACCTGACTCTGCAAGAGCTTATCAGTCACGTACGGATGAAGCCAACAAGCTAAAGGATAAGCTCTCTTCTCAATTTCTAAATTCAGTTAAAGCAAATTTAGTTGAATCTTCTAGTGCTTCCAATGACAGGTTCCAAAACAAGGGGAAGCAAATTTCAAGGGATAGAGCTCAAAAGAACAAAGGTCTTCAACCCAAAAATACTGGTGGAAGAACCGAGAAATTGAAACTGGAAAACCCGGGCACAAATCCTATCAGTGCACCCAGAGGAAAGATAGGAAAGATCAAAGGACTGCTCCACAAGCCAACCTTACAGAGATAGACGATATCATTATCGCTGTGGTTGTGGAAGTAAATCTGGTGGACAACAAATCTGACTGGATTCTTGACACAGGAGCGTCTGCTCGAATCGTGACCGAGGTCATTTTCTTCCTTTCTCGTATTTTGTTCTATTTTTCAATTCAATTTAATGTATATTTTCAAAATTTTTGTTTACTTATTTAATTCAATTTAATGTATATTTCCCCAAATTTTGTTTTTTGTATTCAAATTAATTAAATATATATTTTCCTAAATTGTGTTTCATTTTAATTCAATTTAATGTCCAAATTTTGTTTCCTTTTATTCAATTCAATTTAATATATATGACATTAGGATTAAAATTAGAAATAAAAATTGTAATTTATTATCTAACATCGTGATTCATCAGCTGTTGCAGAATCTTGCCGCCATCGCAATGAGTGAAACAAATCTCTATCTAAGTAATTATTTTAACAAATGAAACAAATATCTATCATTTAATCTATCCCTAATGGAATTCAAATTTAAACTTTAATCCATTTATGTAAAAATAATATATCTCTCATTGAATCTCTCCCATAATATTAATTATAATTCAAATTCAAATTTAAAATTTGAATGGTGAAAAAACAATCTCTCTCTCTCGTTTTCCCTAAACCTCTTCCCAAAAATCTGCCCCATTTTCGTTCATCTCTCTGCTTCTCCCCCCACCGTATCACGTGTTCTTCTTCCTCTCTGTTATTCACGGCGATGGTCGAAGCAATGAAGGGCGGTGACGACATGGACGCAAACTGTTTTTCCGACCGAAGATCTCTCTCGCTTCGAATCTCACTCTCGCTCTCGCTCTCGCTCTAGATCTCATGACGGGGCGGTGAAATTGGGTGGTGAGGTGGGAGCGTAATGTATTTTTAGAGGGGGCATGAAAAAAAACTGTCGTGGTACGGTCTGTAACTAGAACAAAGGCGTGGGGGGCGGCAGGGATTTTAGATAGAGAGAGAAAAACCCTATTTTTAGGGGGAGAGGGTGAGACATTTTTTTTTAATTGTAATATATTGAGATAGAAGAGCGAAAACGAAAAAAATAAGTAGAAGAGAGGAAGAACATATGCAATTTTTTATTTCACCTCCAAGCTACTTCTGACCTACCATATGCAACTTTCTGTAACTGTATAACCACAATGACTTATTCATATCAGACATTTTCTTAATTAAGTTCGGAGTATTTGTTATTTTTGTGCAAGTCACTCATGGCGTAGTTTGTTCAACTAGATGGAAGGATTTTAAATTTATAGCTAACATAATTCGACATCAACATAACGTATGTTGAATTATAAACTCAAACCGATAGAACCAATCTAAAAAAGTGAGCTAATTTAAAAATTAGTTTTTGCTAGAACTTTTAACATCTCCCATTCTCCTATTTTTGCCATAGGATTTCTCATTCCCTCGTCCTAGCAACTAGAAAAATGTTGGCTTTTTCACCAACAATTCGGTCACGTTCTAGGTTCACAAATCAACAATTTAAGTGTCGCATCATTTTAATATTAGTAAACCAAAATGAATTTAGGGACCATTTATTAAGAGCAAAAATGTCTATTTTGAAACTTCAATGATCATACGAACACTTATTATGAATCTTAGGGACGAAAAATGTTCCCTTTGAAACGGGACCAAATAATAAATAGACACCCGTCTAAAATCTCACGGTGATAAAAAAGAAAAAAAAAAAGAGAGTGTATTTTTAGAGAATTAAATATTTCTTCTATTCTCCCAAAAAAATGAAAGAAAGAAAAAAAGGAAAAAATCTTAGAAATCCGTCTCCGGCGAGTTCTTACCCACCCGAGCAGCGGCAGCGATTTCTCTGCGCGGTGGAGATTGAATCAATTTTGAACCCTCAAATCCCATCTTCAGATGTTCATCCCCCTTCGAAAAATAGCAACTCCATTGAAATCCATCCTTTCAACTTCCTTCAACAAACTCTACTCCGATCTGCCATTGAAGCATTCCCCTCCTCTGCACAATTTTCCCTTTCAACATTCTACAGAAACCCTCACATGGCCCGAACTCAAGGCTCTAGTTCTCAGCCGATTCACCCATGGCAAGTTCCTCGACCTCCTTCAAAATGTCGTCGCCTCTCCCTCTGTTCTTCTGACCGCCTCCCAAAATCTCATCACTCCACCACCCCCCAGCAATGGCCTCAATGCGCCGGACCCGTTACCCATTCTCGATTTGGTCTCCAAGTGCTTTTCCGTTGAGGAGATGGCTCGGGAGCTCTACGAAGATCGTTTCGATGTTGGAGCCTGCTGTGTTCGGATGGACCAGAAAGGTCAGTCTCTGGTCTTACCTAACTTGAAATTGAAGGTCTTAATTGAGGCTATTAGGATGGTGTTGGAAATTGTTTATGACGAACGATTTGTGACATTCTCTTATGGCGGCCGTGTCGGTATGGGGCGACATACTGCGATTAGGTACCTGAAGAACTCGGTGCAAAACCCTAGTTGGTGGTTTACTGTCGCATTTCGTCGCAAAAAGTTTGATTCTGTACATGTACATAAGTTGTGCTTATTGGTAGAAGAGAAAATTAAGGATCATCTTTTGATTTGTATGTTGAAGAAACTGTTTGAATTGGAGGCAATTCAAATTGAATTGGGTGCTTGTTATTTAGGAAGGGGTTTTCCTCAGGAAAGTGGGTTGTGTTCAATCTTGTGTAATATATTCTTCAATGGCTTTGATAAAGACATTCAACAGATACGTCTTCAAAAGAATGAAGAAAATCCCAAGTTCAGTCTGGACGAGATTGTTTCGTTTCATAGTCCGGTGAAAATATATGCTGTTAGGTATCTGGATGAGATATTGGTCATAACATCGGGGTCAAAGATGCTAACAATGGATTTGAAAAGCCAGGTGCTAAAGTATTTAGAAGGGAATTTGGAACTGGAAGTGGATCGAATGAATACTGCAATTCATAGTGCTGTCTCGGAGAAAATTAGTTTTTTAGGAATGGAACTACAGGCAGTGCCACCTTCAGTTTTGCATCCACCAATGTCAGAAAAGGCAATTAGGGCTCGAAAGAAGTATATTAGACAGAAGGAAGTTAGAGTTATAGAATTGAGAAATGCCCGCGAGAGAAACAGGAAAAAATTGGGATTGAAAATATTGAGTCATGTGTTCAAAAAATTAAAGCAAACTGATGGGTTTAAATTCGAATTCCAAATAGAGAAGGAAGTTAGAGAAATCTTCAGAAACTGGGCTGATGAAGTGGCGCAACATTTCTTTGAGTCTTTGGAAAATCATGCAGAGTGGCACCATGCGCTGTCAGCGGGTGATTTTCTCTCCTTAAAACACATAAGAAATCAATTGCCAGAAGATCTTGTGAATGCTTATGATAGGTTTCAAGATCAGGTAGACAAACACTTGAATCCTGTAAAGGTAAAATATGTAAAGGCTAGGGAGGATGAAGAGAAAAGAGTGGAGGAAGAACAAAAATATGCTAGAAGGACAGTCGAGGACTTAACAAGGCTATGCATCAAAGTTGATGCTCCTATAGAGCTTGTTAGGAAGGCAGTCAAGATGGTTGGGTTTACAAATAAAATGGGTCGTCCCCAGCCCATCAGCTTGCTCGTTGCTCTTGAAGATATTGATATTATCAAGTGGTATGCTGGCGTAGGAAGAAGGTGGTTGGATTTCTTTTGCTGCTGTCATAACTATAAGATGGTAAAAACGGTTGTAACTTACCATTTGAGGTTTTCTTGTATTTTGACATTAGCAGAAAAGCATGAATCGACCAAACGGGAAGCCATGAAACATTTCAGTAAAGATCTGAAAGTCTTTGATTTGAATGGCGACGAAGAAATCCACTTTCCAACAGAAAGAGAAGTGAAGATGTTGGGAGATAGAATGCTTGCAGACCCATACCCTGTGGATGGGACTTTATCTTTGTTTCTGATAAGATTAGCCATTGATGAACCTTCATGTCCTTGTATTGCTCATTTTTGCAATAGAACAGACTCTATTTTATACCGGGTCCGATTGTTGCAAAGGACTCTTAATGTGAATTCATGTGATGGAGAGAAATGGGTGCGAGGGATGGGAGTGATTCATGAAAGTTTAAATCAGAGATGCCTTCCTCTCTGTGCTGATCACATCAGTGACTTATACATGGGGAGAATCAACCTTCAAGACTTGGATTGTACCTTATCATTGGATATGGACTGAGTGTAACTCATTTGACTTCTGAGTTTGTTTCATCCTCCATGTCGGCAAGATGGTAATGAGATATTTTATTCTTAGCCACTCACTTGTTTTACTTTCCCGGAATGCAGTCAAGTTATTCAGTTTTACAAATATCAGCGAAGCACTACCCAAATCAAGGAAAGGAAAAGGGGGTGCAAACAGTTTGGGTCTGAAAGAGAAACCAGATGAGAGACACTGAGAAAGAAGACGTGACAAGATAATGTGGTTTGCTCTTCTCGAATCAACGTGACAGAGACAAGGTAGACAAAGCTTATGTGACTGGAAATTTTTTTGTTTCAGATAATGGGGTTCGATCTTCTTGAATCGATGGGCGTTACAAAATTTAAATAATTGAAGATGAATTTGTATCACTAGGAAAAAATTCAAGGATTATTTAAATATTTGATTGACTATTTTATATCCCAAAATAATATTTATAATTATTAACTGTAAGAAATAGATAATTGTTTTTTAAAAAAAGGTTTTGCTTAACATCTCCCTCTCCTCCTTTTCGCCCCAGGCTTCACTCGCACCAGCAACCAGAAAAATCTAGGCTTCTTCCTCGCCTCTGAAACCTTTCTCACTCGACAGCTCTCTGGAACTCTCTCTCCTTTTGCTCTCGAAATAGCCGCCCTTCGTTATCTCAGGCATTCGATTGAGGTCGAAGTAGTTTGCCCTCGCTCTTGTTTGCCAGGTATGTGAATGACATTCTTCATTAATTACTAATTGATCGATCTTTGTTGTTCATATATGATGCTATTTTTTATTTTAAACGATTTGGTTATATTTGATATATTAGAAAGGGTCCAGAAATTTGCTGTGTGAAAGCAAGTTTTCAGTAATTGGTAACAAGGAGCTTTTGTTTCTTCCCTCGACAGGAATCAAGAACACAATGGAAAGGACTCAATGCTAAGTTATCAGCTAATGGTTGCAAGAAGAGGCATGCAATTAGAGGTGTTTTTCTATTCTACTTTATTTGTTTTTGGTTGCTCAGAACTGGACAAAGAAAAGAAAAAAGGAAAAAAAGAAAAGAAAAGAAGTGGAATACACAAATTTGATTTCACATTTCTCTGTAGTAGTTTTAGTTACTTGATTTTGGTTGTTATGCAGAAAAATATTTGAACAGAGAAAGTCACTTTCAATACCTTCTGGTATTAACCAAAGTTCTTTTTGCGTTCTGTTTCAAGTTGTTTTTTTCCCCTTCACAATAAAAAATCTAAATTTTTCTGGTCGTTGTCTCTTTTCTTCTGTGCTAAGTTGAAAAACTGCTCATCCAAAGGGTGCATAGTAATGATACATTGATTATTGTCGGTGATACTGGAAGTGGAAAAACTGACACATGAGATTCTATCTTGTCTATTTGAAAGTTACAATAACATTTTAGTACCTTGTTTTGCTGAACTATTTTGTAATGAGATATAATATAGATACCGTAGTTCCTATTTAATGCTGGATTTTATAGAGATAGGAGAGCTATTGGGGCGACCCAACCTCGCGGCGTGTTGCTGCTGTAACTGTAGCCAAAAGAGTTGCTGAGGAACGTGGCATCGAGGTGGGCCAAAAGGTTGGGTATTCTATCAGGTTCGAGGATCTAGTTCCACAAGAAATCAAGTACATGACCGATGGTCTACTCCTAAGGTAGAGTATAGAAACTCCATAAACCTCATTTTCAAAATGCCATTTCAATGTACACCCAATGAGATGAAGTCATTACTATTTTCATTTGATCCCATTTTTCCTATGCACGTATCACGTATGTATATTTTGAAAGTGATACTTGATTTCGAATTTATGTTATTTCCCACTTTTTTCATCAGCATTTGGTCATGAGTGATAAATAAATGGTTGAATTACAAGTTTAGTCTTTGAACTTAGAGTGTGTCTAACAAGTCTTAAAAATGAGACATATTAGACACAATTTAAAAGTTCAAAAATTTATTAAATACCTTTTAGAGTTCAAGGACAATTTTACTTGAATATGATTTGTTCTATAGGCTGTACTACTGCGTCCTTTGAGTCCTAACTTCTAAAAAGACTGATCTATTGGACGAAACTCTAAAAGTCTAGGACTAAACTTGTAATTTTAAGATAAATTTGTTTGGTGATAAAAGCATGGGGTAGATATCCTTTCTAAAATTCTAACTGTGTTGTGTCTTTTTGAGATTTAGAGAAGTCATGGTAAATATATATATGGTGCAATTTTCTAACCAATGTATCATGTTACTTTTATACACTTCCATAGAAGCATTGTTGGACCCTTGTCTTTAAAGATATTCGGTTGTCATTGTCGATTAAGCTCCACGAGAGAACGGTTAATACTGATGTATTGCTAGGAGTTTAGAAAAAGGTGCAGAGAGCAGGATTTATTTCATGGGTATTATTTTTCAAGTTTGTTTTTGAATGTACACCCAAATCTACTTTTATATATAGTTTGAACACCCTTTGAATATGTTCTTAGACAAATTCATCTGACAATTTCATTATATTGCCACACATATCTTGTTAACTAGATTCATATCATATGCAGGAGAGTCCTGGTGGTATACTTGCATTTTTGACTGGTCAAGAACAGATAGAGTCTACGGAAAATCTTGTAAAGAATAAGATTCAGAAGTTAGCTGAAGGCAAAAGGAATTCAGCACTCATTCCCACCTGGAGTTGGTAAGGTAGTTTAAGTATACATTTATGATAATCTCTCCAAAAGTTCTCACCATATTTTCTCTCTGATACTTCCATTGTTCTTCATCTTTCGAAGATTCAATGTTGTTATTATTTCTTGTGAGAAAATTTTTAGTTTGAGAGATTTATGTACTTCAATTTCATCCTCCATTCGAGGGTTTTTGTTTGTAAGATTTTTTCTTATAATCTTGTAAGCTTATATTTATAAATCCATTCTTTGAGAGTTTGTGAGATGTACCGATTGGACTTTAAGTTGTGGAAAGAGTCGGTTCTTCAATCGAACACCCAAGAAAAGCTTGGGAAGTGGAGTAAGCTGGTGTTGCCCAACCACTATAAATTTTCGGTGTCAAATTTCTCCAACCCTGTCATATTTAATTTTTGTAATTAATTTTATCTATTATATTATGCATGAAATTAATTTTTATAATTTGGTCTTCATGTTTATGGTTAATCTTTATATTGGAATTGATTAGAGTGCTTGAAATGTATTTTTAATTTATTAATTAAGTTATGTTAAAGTAATTTATTTGTAGAAAGTGTGTTAATTTGTTTAATTGGGCCTATTGTGTTACAAAAATTTGTTACAAAAATTTATTAAATTTCATTAAATCTTATTCACGTCCCTCTAGGATTACTATATCGATCGAACACTTATTTTTATTACTTTGCATATATGGTTAACTTTGGAAATCAAATGATTTTTATGGTATAAATAATTTAAAATTAAATATTATTTAATTTCATAAGTTAAAAATGAAATATCCTTTACTGTTTTCAATTTGAATATAGCTAATTCGAGAATTAGATTGTTTTTTTTTTTAAATTTAAATATGATAGCTACAAATTAAATATAAATCGAACAAGTCCAAAATAAATTAATATTCTTATCCTAAAATTACATATTAAAAATTAAATATATATTTTGAACTATTACTTTTAAATAGGGATGAATGAAGATAATAAGATATTTTAAAGAAAGTTATATTTTTATTTGTTGTAAAAAGATTAATTTAAATAAAATATTGTAAGGGGCAGGAAGTAGTAAGAAAAGTATTTTCTGTTAAAAGAAAAAAAACACCGAGAAAAAAAGAGAAAACCAAGAAAAAAAAAAAGAAGAAAGAAAGAAAAAGAAAATGAGAATGTGTTAAGAAAAAATAAAGAATTCCAACCACTCTCCTCAAAGACTCTTGAATACTTAATTAGTTCGAGCATAACGCAATAGTTAAGACATTAGTAACCTTTCTACCGGTCAAATATTCGAAACTTACATAGACATTTACTCATATAAATGAACGCCAATAATCACGTGTTGTTAACTTTCTATTAAAAAATTTACCAAAAATGCTAATGAATGATAAGATCTAAAATAAATATTTACAATTTAGGGACAAAAATAGAATAAGAGTCAAAATTAAGACAGAAAGATAATTCATGTAGCATACACAACTACAGTAATAAGATCTTTAATATAATATTTGGATTACAATCTCTTTCAAACAACAATCATTTTGCTATTTCACATTCTCAAAATATGAATGGACATATTTTGATATTTGATCACACTCTATATAGAATATCCAATACTAAAAATGATCTTATTATCATGCCTTAATTACTATATAGGCTTAATTAAGATAGTCGGTTTTGGTTAGTATTGCCTATTATATTCTTAATATATAGAATAGACAATACTAAAAATTATCTTTGAGGCGGGAAAAACTTTATTTCTTGTAGTGTTTCAATTTTTTGTTGTGCTTTTTAGAGGGTAATTTCACATCGGTTGCAAGTCCAATAGCTCGAAGAAATATAATAAAATACCAACCAAAGTCAATCTGCCACCATTTATGACCATGTCTTGCTGAATACTCGAAAGCATGATGGTTATTATGCCATCCTTCACCAAATGTAACCAAAGCTACCATCCTGAAAAAAAAAAGGGAAAAAAAAACTTTTAAGAGTTCAAAATCAATATTTTACTTTCTTATTTTGTGTTGATCTTTATAAAAATTTTATTTTGACTCATTTATGTTCATTTTATTTGATCAATAGATCTCTACAAAAATAATTTTGAACCACATGTAGTATATTTTAGGTAGGAAGTTTCATGATAGATTTGAGTTTTAGTTAAATTATTTAACAATTAAAGATTAAAATATTTTGTTTTACGAAAAATTTAGAGGCTAAAAGTAGACCTAAAACGGGACATTTAAAAATTTAAGAAACAAAGCAAAATAAATATCAAAGCCAAGTGATAAAAAATAGGACTTAAATACCATATTAGATCATCCTTTTAACTTCCGCATCAAGAATTAGGTTTGACCCAATTTAGTAAAGTAAAAATATTACACGACATGTTGTCTTTTCCATTCATTCCTTTTAGGATCAGTTGCGGTCTTACAAACTTTACCGATAGTATGAATGAATATGTTACTTCATATAAATGTATAAAAGATGCTAGCTACACTTAAAAGTCGAGTACTCTACCATTGAGTTAGCAACCCAAAATATATATATAWAAAATTCCTCTCTAGATACAATTGAAATCAAAATGAAAAAAAGAAATTAAATTACACGATGTAAATCAAAATATTTCAATTAAAAAAATCACACAAAAGTAACTTTTTATATTACAGAAAATACAATCAGACCATCATGTGAAAAAGAGGGGAAAAAAGGTTACCAATTGTTCTTAGACAAATCGCCTGTGTCCCACTGTTGCTCTCCCCATATATGGCATACCGAATTCACCATAAATGTTATATGTAAGCTTACTGTAATCCTCACACACTAAAACATTAAGGAGTTTAAGTAAACAAATTATTTGATCGAAGGAATTACATAAATATTATATATCATAGAAATAACATAATTGAGATAAAATATATATTACAACAATAATAGTTAAACAAAATTACAAATATAACAAAAGATAGCACATATTTATAATGTCTTTTAAAAAAAGGGTGAATAATTTAATGTAAGATAAGTTTTTGGAAATTATTATTATAAATTATAGTTACATTCATAAAAAGTACCATGTTTGAAAATATTTTAGAAAATAGAGTTATCCAATTCAAATTTTCCAACTATGTCATATTTATAATGACTAATTTTCAAATTTATAAAAGGAAAATGCAAAACAAAAATCAGTCACAATATCTTACATGTTAGGTTTAAAAATTATATATTGAAATATTTTTGTAAAAATTTAAATTTCTTACACATTAATAACAAAAGAGGAAAAAAGGAGTGATTTTATTTTACCATTCCCCAAATAATAAAAGGAACTCCTCCAACTGCGTACAACAAGACTGCAAGAGCAATTGGATGAAGAAAGTACGTTTTCTGCATAAATCTATAGAAGACTTGCTTCTCCAAATCTGGGACATTATCTGGATTYCCATGCTTCAAGAACAACATAAAAATGTTTTTCTCGATCTTTCCAAAACCATTGGAATAGTTTGGACAAACTTTTTTAGTCAAAGTATAGGAGTCAAACAACCATGTTATATGGCTGAACCAAAATCCTTGAGTTGGACTGTGTGGATCTCTTTCAGTATCAACATATCGATGATGACATCTGTGTGTGCTCACCCAATCAATTGGATCACCCTAAAATTTATAAAACAACCCATTATTTCAAAACATATTAATAAATGTTATTGTGAAATTTGGTAATGTTCTATAAATAGCCAACCTAACTCATTCTTGCATGTTTTGGCAAGTTTAAGTACTTCCCCAATTACGGTTGGATAGTAATTTGAAATATAATTTAAAAAATTTTCTCATGCATTTAGTTGTGTAGAATTATCCACTATATTATATCACCATGGCAGATGGCGGCATAGTTAGTTTGTGGTCAAATCGGGATACCCACCTCCTCGGTTTGAGCTCGTAGAGCATGTAGTCAGGATTTCCCTCCATTCGAGGACGAGTCCTGCAATGTCGGTTATAGTATGGATGATCGTCGATACCTCTCGATTACAGGAAATCTCATAACATCAATTCCGAATTATAAAAAAAAAACCCATCATATTATTCCAGCTTTCTCAAATAATTTCTTTTGAATTACTTTTTTCCCCGCAATCTCTCTCTCTCATTAATGCCCTTCTTCTTCCTGCATTCTCTTCCTCCCCCTCCATTAATATGCCATATGCAAATGCATATGCATTCCTCTCGTTCATTAATGCATCTCTCTCTCCATATTCTCCCTCTCTTCCCTCCCATGAATTATCACAATTCACAATTATCTCTCTTTTTTAGTCTCTCTCAATGTCCATAACACAATCGAAACATCTATAGACTGATTGATCGATCGGTCGGTCCATCAACTTAAAATAATTGGTTTTTAAACCCTTTCTAATTGGTCGATGTCGGGGTTGGTTCAAGTTCAATTACAGTTGATATCGATCAACTTTCACTCCTAGATGCCTGAGTTTTAATGTGTTATGTAAATAATTGCATATATAATCATTTATAAACTACAAGATAGGGGTAGAGTGAAAATTTTTCTTAGGAAAGGGTAAAATTGTAGATTATACCTTTTAATTTTAAAAATTTAGGGGCAAATTAGAGAAAAACTACCTCCTCTTGAAAAATGGAGCAATAATAGATGAATTTGCAATTTATATTAAATTGCTAGGGGTTAGAGGTGTAAAAGAATCCCACTACTTTAAAAGTAAGATCAAACCAATCCAATTCGGTTCAAATAAATTGAAACGTTTACAGTAAGGTCTAGATATCGAACCTGGAATGCATGAGCTGCACAATAAACAAGCAAATATTCAAGCCATTTGGGAAGCTTGAAGCTTCTATGTGCAAGATTTCTATGGTACGAAACACTAATCATTAAACCCGTAGTAGTAGCTAATCCAAATGCAACCCAAAAGGCTTTCCAATTGAAATGGAATGGTGCCAAAATACAAAGGAGGTGCAAGAGGATAAAAGGGGCAAAAACTGTCCTCCTCCTCAACATCCTCCTCTCAAAGGGGCTTGGAGGAGGCTTCACCATCTCCTTTGGTTCTTCTTTTGAGGCTTCCATTAGAAGTGCTTGTGTAAAATAATATTTGAGTTGAGAGTTCCACCATGAATTTATAGGCCTCTTCCCACCTCATTTTCTTGGCAAAGTGGACTAAATTTCTAGAACAAATAGAGATTCATACATTAATAATCCATTTAAAATTGTAACATGATAAAAAAATAACAACACCAACCACATTTCTAAACTTTAAATTTTGATAAAAAAATAACAACACCAACCACATTTCTAAACTTTAAATTTTGAGACAAAAATAACAACACCAACCACATTTCTAAACTTTAAATTTTGTTTGTGATATATACTAACCTATCAATTTTTTTCTTTTGAAATTTAAGAACTTATTAGATATTATATTGAATGTTTAAGGATCTATTATAGATATTTTTCAAGGTTTAGGGACCCGTGAGACAACTTTAAAATTCGAAGACCTACTAGAATCAACTTAAAGTCCAAAGACATTTAACTCTAGAGCACGTCCATCTCTTTTTTTTAGGTACAACAAATTGGGAGTATGTGAATTTGAACCTCCGACTTCAAAGGAAGGAGTAAGTGCCAATTATCGTTGAGCTATGCTCATGTTGGTTATGAAATTTAAATAAAATAAGGAGTCTTTATGTCACATTACAGAGGGACTTATTTAAAAAAAATACGTCATCTGGGGACTTTACTGGGACCGACTTCTTTGAATGGAATAATGAACTACTGTAACAAATGTTGGCTTTTGGACACAATATAAAAGATCTTTTAAAAGCATATATTTCGTCGGGGATGATTCAGGCGAATAGAATAACTCGGTTGAAGCGTACTGATCATAAGACCGAATTGATTATCTTAATGCATAGAACACGTCCATCTTGTGTTAGGTAAATAATTACACCACATATAAATAATGATTATTCTAAGGTTTAAATGAGAAGTGATTTTTATATAAATTATTTTAAGGTTTACTAACACATTTTTTCCAATGATTTTCATATAACTCAAAGTTATTTTGAAGGACTAATATTTTATTTCAAAAGTAATTTTAAAATAACTAAATTATAACCTACATTTGAAAAATTATTTAACACAAATTCATTAAAGTAATTATGACGAAAAAAATGATATATATAACTAAATAATCAATCTCAATAGTTTAGTTATAGAAGGTGAGAGACAAAAATTTTAAAAAGAGAAATAAATTTAGAAAGTGATGGGTTCAAATTTAGAGAGATTATAGAAATTTTAGAGAACAAGCCAAATTAAAGATAAATAAAGTAAAAATTTTAGAAAGGAAAAAAGAGACTTTTATACAAAATTTTAGGTGAAAATAGAGTGAAATACAAACAAATTTGAAATTTAGAACCATAACTAATTTAAAAACTAATTCCTTCTTATTATTATTTTACTAAAGATGACAGGGAGATCACCACAATAGTTATTGATCCTGAAATCACTTATAATTATTGCCAAACATGTCTATTTTAAAATAAAAATGAATTTAACATCAGTGAAAGTGATTATAATAATATCAAAGTTACCCTTATTTTTTTAATTTTAATATACAACAAATATGGAGATGAGAGACATCTTTAAAAAAGAAATATTACATGCGTTAAAGTCGAGTTATGCTCATGTTAACAATAATGAATATTGATTAACATTTAATACACTCAATTTTGACACAATCAACGCAAAAGACGTACGTAAGACAGGAAAAAAACTTCAAATCAACACTTTATATTGGAGTAACTATAAAATCTAACTAGTATTTAGAAATATTGTATTCAAATCCTATTTTCATTCTAAATTTTAATGCTTATTTTATTTTAGTTAGAGCTCGTTTCTCTATTTCTGATTTCTAAGTTTTTTGTTTCTAATATTTTAGAGGGTGGTTAGTAATYGTTTCTATTTCTCGTTTCTCATTTTAGAAACATTTATAACATAAAGAATTTGAATATTTAATATGAAATTTTGATTTATATGTATATATATATATTTTTCTTTTCTTTTTCAAATTTAAAATTCTAGAGAAAAAAAAGAAAAAATAGTTATCAAACATATATTTTAATTTCTTTTTATAATAAGAACAAAAGATAAAAAATAATTACCAAATACAGTTATATATATTTTCTTTTATTAAAAAGAAGAAACGACAGACATGAAACGAAAAGTAAGAAACAAAATAGGAAGGGTACTTGAGGAGACTTTAACTTTCACACATTTTGTTTTTTAGTTCTTTAAGATTTATAAGAAAATATTTTAATATTTGTCATTAAATTTTTAATAATTTATTTTATAGAGATCTGATTTTTTGGTTTTTGTTTTTATTTACCTATAATCCATAGATACGTTACATGGACAACTTTTTAAAGCCACATATAGGAAAGTTAGGTTTCAAGTTTTCAAATGTGTTTATATTTGAAGTATTAATGAGAAATAATGAATGTAAGACAAAAAAAAAAACTTTTAAGGCACAAAACAAAATACCTAAAAGTTGAGAGACTAAAATAGAAAATTGAAAAGTTCGAAGATCAAAATGAATATGAAAATAACACAATTTAAACCATAATCGATTCATAGGAAATTTTTTACACTTTTTTCATATACGTCATCTTACTCTTACTACAATATCTAAAATAAATACTAAGATATGTACCCAATCTCATCTACTCTCTTCCCGACCTCTTGTCACAAGTGGAGACAACATAAACAATAGCTTAACAGTCAAGACAACTACTTATTCCTTTAAGAACGGAGTTTTGGTTGTATTCAAACAAAAAAATATTAACAAGTGGGAATCTCTTATTGAAGCACGGAGAAATGTGGAGGTGAGGATCGAACCTTTGATTTTAGAGAAGATATAGACACCTTTAAGTACCTATGTGATTATTGTAATTTGAGCATCATGAGTTTCTTCTAGTTAAGGAGATTCGAATCCTTCGACTTTTAGAGAGGTAAATAATGTCGGGACTAATTGATATTTTTTACAATAATATCACTCGTAGAAGCCTACCCAAAAGGAGGTTTTCATATGGTTTATAGCTTAGTCCATCTAATAGAGAAAATGAAATATATCTAGAGGGAAAAATGAAAAAGGTGACAAGTGACTTGTCCACAATTATAATTAAATACATTTAAAATCTGCATCCAGACTCATTACTTCAACTAGTTCCAATGTTGTTCGAATGGATCTCTTAGTCGTTGAGATTGTTGCCTCAAGTGACAGAAAAAGAAAAAAAAAACATTTAATGATTAATTATTTGGCTGTGGATTTTCTGTATCAAATCCCATTTTTTAATGCTTTCTGTGAGCTTACTTTCGTTTTCCCTTTAATTTTCATGCTAAGAAATAATACCTTTCCATTCGTTTTGTTTTTCTTCTCATATTCGTTCCATGAGGAGATTATATAGCTATCCGCTGAGTAGATGGAAAAATTATCGAAAGAGGCTACAACAATATGTGGTTAGTAGTTCTATGCAACGACGGTTATATATGTCAAAAGAGAAATTATAAATTATATTTTTAAATTGTAAGCATAAAAATTTTGAATATACATCTCATAGTTATTAAGGATAATCATATTATGCGGCCTCATTCAATACTTTTTCGATGGGATGAGGTGCTAACTTCTTAGATGAAACTAGGAAAGAAATTTTATACTAGAACACGTAGTTTGGGCACATGGGGTGTTGGGAAATTTGTTAGTTAGATTGCCTAAAACATCACTATAAGTACTAGATGACATGTTTACTTTAAATATAGCAAAGAAAGTGATGCATTAGTATTCTATACGTGAAAGTTAAAATGACCAACTATGTTAACGGTTGAACTTAGTAAAAAAAAAACCGAATCAGACGGGAGCTTTTAAGTCGAAACTCAAAGCTAATGCATTAAGCAAGCTTTTTTGTTGTAGAAAAAAATTTAAGGACACGTACCCCAAGTATCTCTGTAATGATATGATATTGTTTGCTTTGGGTATAGCTGTCACCGATTTGCTTTTGGCTTCACCTAAAATGCCTCGTATAAAAGAAGATAATTATCCTTCCCTAGATCACTCTCTTCTCTAATCAATGTGAGATTTTGTTTTGCAAACCTTGCAACCCCAACCAAAAAAATGGTCTTACCGTACATTTTCAAGAACCTTAATCTTCAAAGATATCTTTACTCTTTGTCATGTCTAAAGAAAATATTATCACAGAACAAAATTACTATGATTGGACAAAAAAAAAAATTTAGAAATAACATTTGAAAGTTTAGAGACGAATGCGATCCGATGTTTATTTGATAAGCAGTTGGGTTGAGTTATAAAGATATAGAATGAATCCCAAATAGTGGGACTAGTAAAGGTTGGGTGGACATTTCCAAGAAAAACCAACAGCAAGTTAGTAAAGCAAATGTGCTTTTGACCATTCCTAATAGGGAAATTTGAAGTAATAACTTATTTAGATTTTTGTTGGAAAAGATATGCAATGCGATGCAACCCAGTTTTGACTGTAGTCATTTTTTTCTCACCGAATGACAGGGTATGTCACTACAACAAATATCACATACGATAGTGTCTAAAAAACGCTATCGTAGACTTTCCATAACGTTTTTGAGAGTGGTGGTAGGCGATGTTGTGGAAAGTCAGACTTTCCATAGCGTTTTTTTCATACTATGTCAAATATTATAGAAAGTCTAGTTTTATTGTATAATTTTAATGTTATAAAATTTTTCAATAGAAAACATTAGTGGTTCTCCCGATGAAAAATCCTCATATAGTTGATAATTCCTAAGTTTTCCTAACAAAAATCTTTCGTTGGGAAAAGTTCCATTACTAGAAATAGACATTCTTGTAGTGTACTCTAAGAGTGGACTCATGGAAGGAGGAGAAGCTTAATACAATTTTTAGATGGTGGAGCAACATAAAGAAATGGACTAAGACACTCTTTACTTCCGATGAATCGAAATAGGAATAAATTTGAATGAAAATCAATCCGATTGAGAATCTTATTTATTTGATGTTGGTTATCATAAATTTTC